TTTGTCTATCTAAATATTCATCGAGAATTCTGGAACCACTGCAATATGACATCTCTTTAAATTTTAAAAATACGCAGGATAAAACTATGTTAAGTTTTAATGTAATTGCTTTTTCACTAATATACCAATATGTAAAAATCTAGATATTGTTAGAAATATCCTCCGCTTTCAACGGAGGATATTATTAAATTATTAAAGCTATGCTTAGAATCTACATACTTTACTTTTAGAAATAGAATGTACCGTCAGTCGAACGCAGTTGCAATGAGTTCGCTAGCATCTCCAGTTGCGACGATCCTCTATATGAAGCTTTGGAAGATAGAGCATTCGGAAGTGTCTTATACCAACTCAGAAATTGATATAAGTGGATGGTACGTTTATCACTCTTAAAAAAGGCAAACCGACAGACATTTTTTAGAACATATACATTCTATTTCAGATTCGAAAACATTCAGTACTGAAATGGAATCTAAGGACGGGACTCTAAACGTTTTAGACTGTCCTATTTAAAGAACGACTGAAGGTAAATTCAGCGCAAAAATCTATGCAGAACTAACACATTATAATAAATATTTAGACTTCCAATCGGATTATCCTAATAACATAAAAGCTACAGTTGGTTTGATCCTACTAAGCAGAGAGAAAAATATCAGAACCGATACTAGTGATTTGGAAAATCAAATCTCCAGAATAAAATATGTTTTAATGAAAAATGGTAACCTTAAAACGTTTTCCAACAACATTATGGATCAAACAAATAAACAACAAGTACTACTGGCAATAACAAAGGTACAACGATATCATTTCGGAAAGGTATTGCTGAAGAGATTAAAACAGCATGCGCTTCGCATGGTATTATTAACTTCTGTTTTAAACCTTCAAAAATTCATTAGAAAAGATCCTAGTTGAAGTGAAAGATGTAATTCCCAGATGACACAGAACAACTGCGTCTAGAAAATTAAATCTTCGGAATGTGAAGCTAATTATGTTAGAGAAAGTTGTAGACTCTTATATGTTAGAGTAAATGAACACAAGTTATGTATGAAATATCCACCAAGGAATCAAGATTAATTACAAAACTTAGAAAAGCGATCAGCAATAGCTATGCATACAATCGAAAGTGGACATACAATTGACTTTGAGAATGTAAACATATTGGGAAAAGGTTTCCATTAGATTAACTTCCAAAACCCGGTATATTTTAACAACATCCGATGCTACAAATACAAAAGGATTAGACTTGTCACCAATTTGGCAAAGACTAATCTGACAATTACTAACGGATCGTAAATAAAAGTACAAGAAACAAAATGTATTCTACAATATACATGAACACACACCGACTACTGACAAATGCACAAATGGTAAGCGTGAACTTGTATGGACTAATGCCAATCTAATCATGCTGGACAGAAAACTGTCAAACCAATGGCCTACAATCACCATATATTTTGATATTATTAAGAATCCGAGCATTATCTTGAAGTGGCTCACACAGAGAAACGTTCAGAAGTATCTTGTTTTAACTTTCTAAACAAGCTGAGATTATACATTTTTTGTTGATGTGCTTGTTATTATCCGTTGTTTTGCTGGACAGAATTGCTCCACCTTTGTTGGTATATGGGTTCCTAGGCGGATGCGTGAATATTTATTACCTTAATTTACCTGGTTGTAGTTAGCGGAAGAGTCCAGGATGCTCCTTTCGTCCTAATTAGGACTTTTCAGTAAATTAACGCTGAGATTGTATTAAAAAATACTTTTATGATGATTAAATCAGACTGGATGATCAACTTCTTCCAGGACAATCGTAGCAACTAAAATCTGGATGTTTAAATAAAGATAACTGCTGATTCAGTTTATTTCACTAGTACTCAGAGAATGAAATCAAATTTATGGTGAAATATATTCGGGTGATAAACTCATACACATACATATTTCAAAGTTGACAATGAATTCATTATTTCAAATCTCATAATATAATTTTAGTTGTCAAAGTTTCTGATCAAACTGTCTCATTATTGTAGAGTGAGATTTATGTTGTGGTATATCTTCCTTGTATTGCAGCACATAAAAGAATTTCCAAAGGTTCAAAGTGAATTTCTTAACTTTCTGACAACCTTATTAAGCAGTACGGTGAAAACGCAACCTGATTACACACATTTCACCTAATTGAAATGTTTGACCTTTCTATTATTATCTTTCCATAGGTACGTTTCCATAAAAAAATCTCAACGAACAACCCTTTCGAATAGAAACGATAGAGACTTTTGCTATCTACTTCAGTATAACAGGTAGTTCAAAGTCTCTTAAGTTTCATGACTCATCTGAGAGACTATCAGTTTTGTCATACACATTTTTGTCGTGAACTTCAAAAAGAATCAAAACTTCACTTTTCTTACCACCCAATGACTCTGAATGTTATTTCTTGTTCGGATAGCTATTATCTTAACCGAATTTGTGTACCAATGCGGATCACTTACATCTTTTGACAATCTATCGGATTGATTGACTAGTTGACTTCACTTACGTACGTCTCCTGATTCCAAGCCTGTAGATATTCACCTGCAATTTAGATAATTTCACAGGTTAAGGTTATTATATTATCGTAGTAAAGCTAATGATATTATCTGTCTGTTGGTATGAGATTATAAATCGTTTTAAGGCTAACTAGAATTTGAGTAAGGTGTCGATTTCAAACAGTGAAGTCAGATGAAAAGCTTAAATGAATGAATTTAATAACGGATACGCCATATGTATCACTTTGTGTTGCAATTTTAGATTTGTAGGATAAACCAATGAATATACTGTTTGAATTAATATGAATCATCAAAAGCGTATAACTGATTCCTAACAAATTCTGGATAAAAAGAACTATGTGGAATATATTTGTTAATAAAGGTTGCTCCTCAATCGATGAAGAAGCTGTGGTATTATTCATGTCTTTTGAAAATACATCTTTGATGGTCTACATCTCCCTATGAAACTGATGCACCGAAACGATACTGACCTAGGCAACAAAATCGGTAAACAAATAAATTTGCATGATATTTGACTGTTTCTATGGTGCATTATTTTGTCTATTTAAGCAAACTTTCTTTATTGATAACTAAAAGTTAAAGGTCACTGTTAAATTTATGCTTCTGTAAGTTACCCAATGAAAATTCAGTGAGGGAAGATTGCTTAAGTTGTTCAGTTTACTTCTCTATTTACTAAAAAATGCATTATTCACATTTGTGGCTTTATTGTTTACAAAACAAAATATTAAAAGCAACACTCCCTATGAAATCACCCGATGTATTAATCATTTCATTGATTTCCATTCAATAACCATTGTTTATTAAGTTGTGCATATGCACGTAGAACTGTGATTAGACACAAGCGTATTAATTTCTACTAGTATCACATAAACGTAGTATGATAGCACTTCTGAAGTCTGAAAGCGATGCGTATATAATATCTCATAGTTTTGAGAAGACTGTTTAGTTTACAAAGATCATATCTGATTCTACATACTACCAGTCCGCTTAATTAACCATCAGAATTCACGTGATTTGAACGATTCAGCTAAGCTAAATCAATCCGGGTATACTACTGATGGCTTCCTTCCAAACGACCAAAACAGTCGTCTGACTTGAGGATAGTTCACATTGAATATGCAAAGATTGCTGTTCAGAATGAAAAGCATACATCTATTGATGACAGTTTGTAGTCTATTTCCAACACTGGTTAAACGCATAAACTGAACTTCATTTGTGCTGATTTCTTTTACTTGAATTATGAGTTTCTTGTTGATGCTCTGTTTGTTAAATTGATAGGTCAGGTAACTTAGTATTCCTGTGGTGCAGTGAAGCATAAGGTTTTTAAACAGATGCACATAAAATACCTCGAATATGAAAAATTCACTTAAAAATTAGTATGAAATATATTTCCGTATACAGAATATATAAGGCGAAGAATGGTATGCATGTTATGAATAAGGAGATGTAAGTTACGGACAATGTAGAATCCAACATAACTGCTAAAGTATCTTCTTTATTAGCATTAAAGGTGATGTACAGTACCATATACACACTGATTCAAATACACTCAAAGTTAACATGGGTGTGTTTTTCGTCAGCGTACAAGTAGGAGGGAACAAATACACCGATGGTATTAGCCACGTAACTAAGAATAAGAATCTATACACCGAACATTATGCGCAACAGTCCATTACATCACAGATGAAAATAAGTATACTAACTGATAGGGAGATCAAGTAAGCATTATGATGCAGCGGATTACGTTTTGCTTTTGCTATGATCACAAAAATCCATTCGAAAGATTCTTCTGACTGTTTATTTGAAAACAAATAAAGTATAGACATAAGTCCACGCTTTTGCACTTTCTACTTTAGCAATGTTCCTTTTTCCAAATGGATTTCACTTATCACATCCAGTGAACCTGGTAGTATCCTAAACTAAATTGATTTACAAACCAGTGCCAACTTGCTTACGAAACTATTATTTATAATAGATTGACCGAAATAAGATTACACTAAATAACGTTCCAGGTAGTATATTCAGTTAGCACTGTAAGCTCAGTAGAAAGCAAAAATCAGGTTTACAAAAATGAGCGCTTATAACAATTTAATCACGAGAATACCAGAGACAATAAACATCCAGTCAGTGGAAATATTACATAACATTACAACTGACATCACTTAATTAAGAGGAATATTAACTTTTGTAATGACTCAAATGAGGTTGTAGACATGTACTCCGAAAAAGTTATTCGCAGACAAAACAAGCTTTTTCCGAATTTGGTCAATGTTCTCACCAATTATACTTTAACAGACAAATGTGGGAACATGAAATGTCTTCGCTAGTTTAGTGGAACAAGACTCTAGAGAAATATACATACATACTAGCCTCAGTAATAAACAAAAAAATGTTATGGTAACCATCATAGTACAATCAGAATTAGTGAACTTATCAAAACCGTTGATACGATATGAAAACAATTTAGAAATCCTCTTTTAAATCGATTGATACTTCAGGAACAAGTGGGCGGTTATAACCAAAAAGACACTCTGAATTAGTAGTACGCGCAGCTGCTGAAAGAAATCCAAAGCACATGTCATGTAATATCAGGAATTGAGGAGAACCGAGAACTTCGGACTGTGTAGTTTTAGCCTAGAGATGTGTGATTCGTATATCCACATCAGACGAGTAATTAAACACTTATTCAGCTTAAATAAACTGCCAGACACTTCTCAGGCGATTTCCTCTTCTTCTTTTACATAGTATAATGAAATTATGAGCCAAATAATCAGAAAATTCATGCAAACAGAACTATATATCCATATCAGATCACGCAACTTTCAAATAAACAAATTTAATAAGGAGTTACATTTTACTGAAATGCTCGAGTTCTACATGTATATTAAAGAACTACATATCATTCATTTTCATTATCTGCACTGCTCATATGTAGATGAGTCGGAAAATTAACTAGAAAATAATAAAAACAAATAAAAAAAGATGTATTCAAGTAACGATACGTATAAATAGGTAACCATGAAGATAGAAATATGTCTGGAAATAATACAATAATCAATGTTTCCTCGATAAGAAAAAAAAAGATCACATGAAATTCCAAATGGTTGACTTCAGCTTGCGATTGGATAAAAAAGAACAATGATACGAATAATAGTAATGGGTGTAATAGTACTAATAATAATAGTAACTGATAATAGGTACCAAAAGTAGAGAAACAAAGCAATGGAAGGATAGAAACAAGTCAGAATAAATCTGATGACTGAATGCTAATATATACGTTTTGCTGATAGACAACAGGATACAGCAAAAGGGAATAAACACTAAGAAAGCAAATAGTCATCAAGTCATCATTGAAGCATTATTCTTTATATATATTCTTCCGTTCCGACTAACTGGGCCAAAAACCATGAAGGATATATAAAGCAACAAAGAAGTAAACATTGATCAGAAAGGATGATATTATCTGTTCTTCGTTTGCTGATATATATATATATATATATATATATATATATATATATATATATATATATTATTCTACAAAAGTATTTAATCTGTATCAATAGTCAGCTTGTCTGTATGCATGAAAATATTTCGCTTAAAAATACCGAAAGAACAGCATTAACCATTGTATAAAAAGAAGGCAAAGAGGCGCAACAATTTCTGAGTTACTTCACATTCTTTACAAAACAAATAAGTTGAATGAGAAAACAACAAAACACTAGAGAAGTAATAAGATAAATGACGACAAAATACATTTTCGTAGGATAGAAACAGCAACGAAATAAAACAGATAGTGTGTGCTTGTAGATTTCCGAGAAGAAGAAAGAAAAAGAACTGGTCGGATATTATAAGGTAAATGTTGTATGCTACAATCTTTTATGCTACAATTGTCACAGTTGCTTCAAGTATTCAGGTGTAATTTGAAGGGATATCGCAAAGTTATATTGAGTAGATTGTTGTAGCGTTTTAAACTATGTACATGATGATAGCAAACCAAGGCTTCTAATGAATCATATGTACATGACTTTTCAACAAATCCATACTTTCCTTCAATGCAGTGAATTAAACAATGCTGAACAGATGATTCTAATCTACATATACAAAAAGAAATAAATGAAAATACAAACATCCAACAAATTAGCAAACGACAAAAGATAAGGATAGGTATACATCAAAAATTAGTAGAATGAACAAATACCGTTGGCAAGAATGAGTTCAACGTTGCTATCAATCTCCAGGTGATAACTGAAGTCTGCCTGTCTATCAAGAAATATGGCATTGCCATTAATCCATATGAGTTTGTCAGTCACACAATATCAGTGACCATGAGAAAGACTTAGTAGTGATACATCTGACTGTAGAACTGAACACCGCGAGTTATTATCCTAGAAAAGATAGTTTCCTCTAATACAGTTCCCAAAATATTCCGTCAGAATCGATGTAGCTCTACTGAGAAAAGTGGAGGTGGAGTAGCTACCTTTATCAATACCCGTTGGTGCATTTCAAGTTATATGTGCTTCAAATTCTCAAATGATTATATAGATTGCATCACTGTTAAATCCCACTCAAAACATTTGAACAGGTACTGCTTGATTTATGTTACAAATATTTATGTGACTCCGGGTTGTAGCTACTCCCAGTTATCCAGTTTCTTAGATATATTCACGGAATTCGTAACCCCTATACTCTGTGGTTACCTGTCGATAATATGTGGTGATTTCAATTCTTCTGACCAAACGTTTCTCAGAACTCTTGGCCATCGAAACATTGTTAATTTCACAAGAAGTCAGAATACAACACTAGACTTGGTATTCGTCAATGATACTGATATATATATGAAACTCGAAAGGGAGTTCCACTGCTCAGGTCATTGCATTATACGTGTTTTGCCCAAAATATATGGCAAACTATACAAAACAGCCTTCACATATAAGAAGATTGTACATAGAAACTACTCACACAGTAACATACTTAATCTAAGGGAAATAATACAATGTACAGACTGGAATATATTTGACAGAGATGTTTGAACGACACTCTATTGAAGATGTGATATGCTATCTTAAGTTCTGCCTGGATAACTGTTGCTCCAGTGAAAAGCTTTTTCTACGCTTCGATCGTATATTTTCGCAGCAGCTTAAGATACTAAGAAGAGAAAAAGAAAAACTATGTAAAGTAAGTGATAATGCTGGTGCTCGTAGACCGAACGTTTTAATTAGGTTAAAAATTAAACGTTTGAGTCTACTATATAACCAGAAACTTTTGTCATGTCAGAACTTTTCCAGTAGTTGGAAACTTTTTAAAGACCTCACCTTAGTAAAGAAGCACATATCGACGTCTGTGCTTTGAACAAATCGTTTATACGTCAACCCACTTGTCTCATCCCACTATGTCAATATATGTCCAATGAACGTTGTCCAGAGTTCACTGCGAAAGATGTTTCCAAATGTCTCAAATCCCTGAACCCTTCACACATTTCAGGTCCGGATGGTATGTTAAGCTTCGTATTCATGAAGTGTGCTGGTATTTTATGCCATATACTAGCTAACATGTTCAATAGATTGTTTTTAGAAAACACCATATCAGCTGCATTCCTATTTCTCTGAAAAGAAACAACATACTATTAACAGAGGGAAGCGCTCGACCTCACTCCTTACTGTGACTGGTATTCTTCAAGGAGTCGTCTTTTCCCCTCTGTTTTCTACCTTTCTTTCTGCGTGACTCAGAAGCTTCAGCTGGTACCGACTTCAACAAACATGCTGACAAACTAACAGTTTCCATACCTGCCTCCTCTTCAGCAGATTGTTCCTAACTGAATGATTCCCTGTCTACTGTTAAACGAATGGTCTTATGCTTAACTTTCCAAAATGTCAGATATAATCTGAGTAAACTGCTTAGTTCTAATGATTCCTGTTCTATTGATAGTTTTGCATTAGAGAATATAATCTCGGTGTATTTTTCTTTGAACCTTTCCTGGTCCTCCCATATCTTATTAATTTTCAAAAGAATTCTCTACCTAACTTTCTATATTAGGGAGCTGAGAGTATCTGGTATAACTCAGCTTCGTCTTTTCTGTTTTATAAACTCCTGCATCTTGCGTATTCTCCTTTATTGTGCTCCTTAATTTTTTCCTAGGTTGTGAAAAAAGACTATGCTACATTGTGTAAAACTTTGAAGATAGTCAACAGAACTAGTGGTGTACCTCTAAGTCTGCTGGTTAAAATAGTTATGCATAAATATATTAACTCATGTAAACATCTGACAAGAGTTAGTTTATCAGATGACCAGCATCCTCTTTATCCAAAGCTCTCTGCATGTCGCTCATCAGGAAAGTCAAGCAGCAAGTACATAAGACTTTATGTACGTACTACAAGAATATAAAAACTCTACAATATCGTATTTAGCTCACCTACTGTGCAATGAAGAAAGCATTAGAAATGAACTAACTAATCAAATCCTGTTTTTGAAAGCAAACTAACTGATCCTGATGATGAGCATATTATTATTATTATTATTATTATTATTATTATTATTATTATTATGAATCTAATTAATTCCTACCTAAATTAACTGTACACTTTCAGGAAAGTTGCAGAAATAGTGAATATTCTTATCTTTTTTATGCAATTTACACTTATTTCATTTTGCTATGTATACATGTACACTGTTTCTGTCTAACTGATCCTATATGACATGGTGAAAATTCTGTAGAGTATCCTCGAAATAGCTTTCGGAATAAAGCCATTATTATTATTATTATTATTATTATTATTATTATTATTATTATTATTATTATTATTATTATTATTAAATTCATGATATCGCAAGCTGCGCTTCGGTGTAATTTATGGTGATGAGACAGCCAAATATTGCATTGGTATCAGAAGCAACAGCCACAGTCTCAGATAGCTATTCATCTAACATCAACCGCTAATCATATTTAAGAATTTCCCCGAGGTGATTACACTAGGCACAACAGAAATAATATCCCTTTTAAGTTCCTAAATACCACATCATATACTAAAACTATGTACTCATTTCATAAAAGTGCGAAATTATCTTCTAAAATGGCTTGAAGTGCAGGCCATCTTATTATCATGAGAATCCACAATTGATATTTAATTTCGCTACATTCGAATCGATTCAATAATCTGTACACAAAATACATAGGTAGACACAAATATCAAAGGATCTAATTTCTCATACTTGATCAAGAATATATATATATATATATATAATATTTCACATTGTATTTTAAGAAATATAAGAGAAAACGAATTTATACAGACAAAATTTCGCTTATCATAAGATAAATATCTAAATAATTTACCAACTAACACACATCAGATTTTTTACTTGATGCAGTACAGTGATGTAGTATTATCATTCATTGGATAACATTTAGAGCAGAATTTATTGCTCATATTCATTTCAGAGCAATCGTACAACCTTCAAAATTTCTTTATATAGTCAAACGACTTTTCATTCGTTAATTTTAATGATAGTGAGATTTTCCAGATATCTGTAGTATGTGTTAGGTGTTGATTGAATAAACAAAGATTCTGTGATCAATCTCTCCCTTCACCGACCTATATGGGATTTTAGAATTGTCACCCTATCCCACCCTATAGTATGATTATGCGTCAATGTATGCAGAAAGATGACCGAGTTTTTCGAGAAACTACTAATTTTACGAGGGTCTATAATTGTGTTTCGCTAAAAGTTCGAGCTCTGCTAGTCTGATGGACACCGATCAGCTGTTGTGAGCCATATACTTGACCTTACAACCATTACATGGTATTTGATAGATTAGGTTGGCTCTATTGGGTCCTTTAACTTAACGAAACTTAACTTTAACTTAACGAAATTTCCCTCTGAACGAGTTTGTGGGTTTAAATGCCACCCTAAGCCCAGCATTGTAAACAGTTGTAAGTAAAATCTCTTATATACCTGTAAAAGTTTACTACCAATAAAACAGATGGATGAACTGTTGGACTATACAAAGAAAGTTTGAAAGTCGCATGATTACTTTGATATGAATATGAGCAATAAATTCTGCTCGAAACGTCAACTAGTAAATAATAATGCATCATTGTATGCCATATCAAATAAACAATCTAATATGGAACTATACCACAATGCCCAAGTTTCACTCTTACACTACTAACACACTTCTCAGATTAACCGTATACAGATCTGTAAATTGCATCGTAAAATCTAACAAAATCAGTAAAACCTCTACTTAAAATTAAAGCTGATAACTTATTATAAAGTATTACTACTCAGCGGAACGGAAACAACTATATGGGGAGATTTAAATACATCATAATCATTAGGTGTGCCTGCCTAAGTTAAGTAACCTAGTGGATCATACTCTGACATTTCAAATGATGGTTGATAGTTTAAGTACAGATATCACAATTTTGTTGCATGAAGATGTTGATAAGAAGCATAGCCTTCCAAACACCCGAATGGCAATTCTAGAATACTTGAGATGGGCTTTTCACAACCTAAATGCGAATTGTTGCTCCAGCACTGCGCTGCATTCGCAAAACAAAGCGGTGAGGTCTACTGATCATTTCACTTACTTGGGAAGGCAGATCTGCCCTGGTGGTTCAGGGACTGACGAAGTCTCTGAACGCATACAAAAGGCTCAGACGGCCTCAGCTAAATTATACCATTTATGGTGCCACCTTAATATCCGATTGTCTATTAAGGGTCAACTGTACTGCGCTGCAGTTCGCTCTCTTCTACCACATGGCCAAGAAAGATGACCATTAAAGGTAGAGGACATGAGAAGGCGACTTTGAGTACTCGATGACCGTTGCCTTTTGAGCACTGGCTTTTTGTAGCAGAACCGATACGGAAGTAACGTGGACGTCGAACCAAGAGTTTTAGGTAGGTAAAGAAAGTCAGTTGATGAGTCTGTATATCTTAGTCGACTAGGAAAAAAAACTGGAAATGAAATCAGCAATCGTGTGCACATTTGTGCAGCAGAAAAAAAACCACACCTAATGTGCAAGAGTGAATAATACTATCTGGCCGCTCGAACCTTGGTAGGTGGGGCAGGGTTCGGACCCGTTACCCACTG